ATATATATATTGTTTATTGAACTGTCTTCTCTCGCTTAGTATGCAGTAATGGAATTACAATATTACAATGTATTAGTCAAACTACTTTTATTGTTCATAATTGCCTTTCTTTTCATGTTTTAATTTGCAGGATCTAGTCATATCGATAGTAGTTATAAACATTTATATGTTATCGTTGGTTTGTCTACACCAGATTTATATACATGTATCAATTATCTTCTGTTTGTCTACACCAGATAACAAAAATATCACAGGGAGGATTATCTGAAGATGTAACACTGTATTTGCATGTCTACAGCGTAATGAAATCCATTTAAATCTGTGTGGTGTGCATGCGCAATTGTAGGGCTATACGACAGACTGGTCTTAATGTTAAATCGATATACAGATTTTTGATTACTCTATTTCCGATTACCCATAGGGTGTATGAGCAACCAGCATTTACATCTTATCAGAGGCTCAAGTAATGTGAAAGGTAACTATACACCGGCGAAACTACTAAATATTTATTTTGCGGAAAGAATATTAGTTGGTTCACTTTATTTCTAGCGATAAAATGCAATATGATTTTGAAGTTACACCTCAGTGGGATCTATAACATCATTAACATATTCAAGATTTCTACTGCAATGCTGAAACTGGACTGGATATGTCTCATATGTCATGCCAAAGCAGCAATTAAAATTGTCCGAAACAGGTATATGGAGTGGTTTAAGTTAGTTAAATCTCAATAAAGTTACAAATAAACAATTACTGAGCCAAATTCTGATAATTTATTTTCTTTTTAATGCATTATAATTTTAAAATTGTTTTCCGTAACATACGTCATTGCTACTCTTTTAGGCAGTTTTCGGCGTCTTTAGCGACAATATCTGACTGCGTTCTGAAACAGTGTTCATTGATCTTAACATCAGCAATAGCACTAAATGTAGTTATTGCATTTTGCCACAATTGTACATGGCAGTGTTAATCAGTAGTCTGAGATATGACTAAGTGAACATCTATATTTCTATCTTTAAACGTACACATCAAATCATTTTTTTTAAAAAAGAGGTCTCTAAACTTTATCCAATTATGTTTTGCACGCATTTCTTGTGGCACAAAACTTGCATAGGATTAGAAAAAGTTTATGTTCCGTTATGATGGAATCTTCTGACATGTTGGCGGAAGTTGTCTTGAACAACGTTCATTACAGGCTCGTTAATATCATAATACAAATAGTATACTAACCTCTACTTCCCCAAAAATTAAACAAATGTTGAAACAAAAATTGTATCTGAGCATCTGAACATTGGAAATAAATATGATGAGAACGATCACATTGTACTGTTGTGACGAAAAGGGTTTATATAAACCCAATCCCCACACACTGTGAACTAAGAAGCTGTCAAAGCGGCACTCACTGAAAATATGTCTCTTGCAAAGAATAGAGACACATGATATGAGATATGTGACAGATAGGTGACATCGTTTTATACATCTTTCGAAATATAATTAAATGATTGTAAAAATACAATCAATACTTTTTGCGAATATAAAATATTTTTAATTGATACCAAAAAAACCTGTCTTCGATCAAATCCAAACAAAGCCTGAAATATTACTTTAAAATATACTAACCTTAAATGTATTTTTATGTACTCTGGTTATTTAATCAACGGGCCTGGAACGTACCAATTGTTCAAAATATAACAAAAACAAACAATGGTTTTAAACCTATCTAATATGTGTTTATCGATCTACATTGCTATGGTTACCACATGGTGCACATAGTGTTACTGTTAAGATCAGTTCTATAGGTTTGGTGTAATCCGTTAAAAGAAGACACTGAGTTAGTTAACGAAATACCTGAACCAAATCAAAATATATTTCTTAGCGAATCGGTAGTTAACATGGTAAAAAAATCTCCTTTGATTATTTCTTACATGCCGTCAGTGTTTTGTCAACCCGAACTTAATACCTTTTTGTAAATGTTACTCATACTGACGTCTTGACACTCTCAAATAAAGTGTGCTGTGTCTTTCCTTTCCTTTACTTCTTGCTACCCAGATTTTTGTGACTTACGCAGTCTTACGATTAAAAAGAGGACACTCCCTCCACCCCAGAAACAAGTTCATTGTAACGAAAATAAAAATGGTCAAATCAAATAAAGTGATGCTTTAAGTGTGTAGCAAGAGTATAATCCTATCGGAAGGCGTTTCTTTCTTTTCGCCAATTATCGGAAAATCACAGCATGAATACTACAATAGCCTTTATATATATCTATATTGTTTACAAAGTAACGTCATTTATTGATCGCACATCATTACTCATCTAGTGTAATGCCTTACTTCTAACCCAAACTTACCTATTCTATTCAAGTATTCCATTTTGAATTATTATGAACTTTTACAAATAATCCACCATATTTATCATACTGCTTTGGGCATTGTTCTGTTTTGCAGTGTGTAGTTCAGCGATTACTTCTGCTAGCTTCTTTCGATGTATCCCATTTTACTCCATATCATCCAATCGAAGTATTACTGATATTAATTAGGCAAAGTCATCTAAAAGTAATATTCTCACTGTTGATATCTTTGTTATTGCTGTCGTTGTTATTATTTCTCTCTTTCACAGCTTATGAAAGTTGTTGCCTGTGATCAAGGCAATTCCCATGTCCTTACATATGAAAGACTCTTACATAGTATCATTACTGTTTCGAGGAGTGCCGAATTCTATAGTAGTTCTGGGCTGAGGTTCTTCCTGGCGTATCTAAACTGTGGTTTAATTTGTGTGGTACAACTTAGATTGCTTACACCACAACTGGTACGATCTCTGTCGTGTTTCAGTCTGTAAAAGCTTATCAACCAGAACACCGTATCCTGTCACTTGTTCTTTATTTGGTACAAGGGAGTCCCCTGTTAATACTATATCTGTTATGTAGGTAAGCTTCCTCGCCATTTTTACCAGTGTTATAATCGACCTTCTTTATTGAATTATGTGGTTAAGTCTGGATCTTGAAATCTCATAGGATTTTTGTTGGAATGTTCTCGAGCCTTTTTATGGTTAGACACTACACTAGTTAGTGGTGCACTCCAGGTCTTCCACTGCAATGAACAATTCTTGTTTCTTGCTAAAGTCCACCTCTCTTGAGCGATCTACATGTACCCTATTCGGTTTGTGGTACGAGCAGAGATGAATATGTAAGGTTCATGTTGAAAAGAACATATAAGTTACGAACATTGTATATACTAGAAATCACTGAAATATTTCAACACTTATACACTATGTGAGATCATTAAAGACTCCTTATAACATTCACTTACGTGCAAGGCGGCTAAAAAAGTGGGTCACAAAAGTTTAAAATGAAACAAGGTCTCGTTTATCGGGTTACCTTTGAGGTGTGGCTTGACCAAAATAAATAATGAATGAAATGACTGTCGTGCAATATTATATAATTTTGTTCTCCTTACACTAATTATTGGTAATGCAACTTCGACCTACGGCACAGATTATCCAGTGATCTCATCGCTATCTGACATTTTGTGATAATTTACATCATGAATGTAATAATGAAAAAGAGTGAAATATAATCCTTCATGTAGATCTGTGTTGCATATATGAAATTTCTACCTTCAGGATCAGAAGTTTGACGTAAAGTCTGATTTCTGCCCTAAACCCAGTATCTGGCCGCAAAATTCTGATCTGGAGTGTGTCAGTCTCTTAACTAATACCAATATTCAATAAACTTATATTTATATTAGATTCTTAGACGAAAAATGAGTTAAAGTTGAAATGGCTTATTGTGACTGTTGATGAAACTGTCTCATTGTAAAAGAGCCATTTAATATTTCTTCACACTACACCAGAGTGGAATAGGTTAGCCATAAAACGAACGAAAAAGATTCAGTGTAAGTATTAAATGTACTTATAAACAGCTACAAAGATCAATGGTAGAAAGGGTAATGTAGTACATAGCGTCTGAGAATGTACAAGTATAATAGGAATGTAAATAGCTAAACAAATAACATCCGCTATTTTTAAACTAATATTACATAAGGCAGACAAAATATAACGATATGGTTTTCGACTCAACTTTTGATGTAAAATGTATTTCCGTTTCACATATAATGGAAAAAAACGAATTAAAAACCAAAACATTTAAACAAACATTACATGAATGATTTTCTTAACCTGAAACTAAATATATACCTCTACCTAGGTCAGTCAGTGCAAAAGGTCCCGTTTGCGGGAAATTTAACTTAAATTGCTATATATATATCTTCAACTCCATTTTTGTGGCTAAGAACTGGAGTGATGCACAAATTTAGGAAGATGTTGCCAGTTTGCATCATGATTTTAGTAGGTAAAGAGAAAATACAGCATTCACGTGATGAAAGGGTCGCTATGCCGTTCTATAGTGACTGTTATTCTATATTGTAACTTACGAAGATAAACAAATAGCTATATGAGAACTGATAATACATAATGTGGTATACTCTCTCTCTCTCTCTCTCTCTCTCTCTCTCTCTCTCTCTCTCTTATATTATGCCCCCGAGAGGTATGAATTGTTTCTGTTTGTATGTTTTTTGTCTCTCTTCATGTCTCTCTCATAATGGCTCCAGGCATGGGACGAGAAAAGAAACAACACGAGAGAGAGAGAGAGAGAGAGAGAGAGAGAGAGAGAGAGAGAGAGAGAGAGAGAGAGAGAGAGAGAGAGAGAGAGAGAGAGAGAGAGAGAGAGAGAGAGAGAGAGAGAGAGAGAGAGAGAGAGAGAGAGAGAGAGAGAGAGAGAGATTTTTAACGTAGCTTTAAAAACAAATTCAGCCATATAGCAGCGATGTCTATAGTGTGGCAGTTTCTACTACTGGGGCATCAAAGCCGCATATATGTAGCGTGATGTCCCATTAAGACACATTATCTTGACATCAGGCCGACCAGTCCAAACACTAACCTCTTAATACTGAGCGCCTAGCGAGTTAGCTCTTGGTACTAATTTTTTTAAAAATAAGTCTTTGGTATGACTCACCTAGAGTTCGAACCTGCGACTTCCCGCATCCGAGGCGGACGCTTTAACTACTAGGCCACCGGAGCTGTCAAAGACGATATAACTATATCACAGAATGTGCAAATAACAGTCACTTAATGAATACAAGATTAAGATGTACAACATTGCGTAGGTCATCAAACTTTAAGACTTTTATAGATTACAAGAACAGAAGTATAACCGTATGAATATCAAACCAAACTGTAACTTCTAGAAGCAGGATAACTAGGTGACAGGTACAAGTTTGTTATAATGTGATACAGATCAAGAATAAACCGAAATAGCTAACTTCATTATTCAAATATTGTAATGTTTCAGGAAACCACAAACAACTAACTTATCCACACACACACACACACACACACACACACACACACAAATGCACAAACACACAAACGCACAAACACACAAATATAGAATATTACTGTATGTCTGTCTTTTTGTCATAATATGTCCTGGAGTTTAACGAAAACAAAAACTGAACATCGAAGCGAACGTTATAATAAAAAGAGTTACTGTAGAAATTCCCACATATTCAACCTACACAGATAATTAAGTACTATTATCTCTGAATAAAGAGATCATACCGACGCACTCCTTTCCATTTAGGTATATATTGTTATTTCTGAATAAAGGATTGCTGTAATACCCCGAACACCTTTCTTCTTTAACAAATATCCACGTAATATTGTCTCTTAATAAAGTCTACTGTAAAAACCTGGACACCATTCGTAATTTACAGATAATTACGCACCATCATCCATGAATAAATGGTTACTGTAGACACCCCAACAAAGCTAATACTTTCTAGACAGATAATTACTAATATAGCTTAAAAATGATTAGTGTACATACTCTGACATCATTCACCTTTTTGCAAATAGTTGCCTTTTGTAATTATCTCTTAATAAATTGGTTACTGTACACATTCCAACACCATTCACCCTTTTCAGAAGCTTATCTTTAACGTTTTCCAGACCAAATTCAGCATTATTGTGATGTGGCTAAGTTTGAAGATTTATTGAAACTAAAGGTTGAATAAATTGTGCTTTTAAGTTAACATAAACAAACCAGAAAGGTGTCGAGAAAGTTCACTGTTTATTCTCTTATTTCATCTCTGAATCATACAAGGGCATTCGTATAAGTTTCAGTAGCACTGACCGGGTTGTTTTAACGGTACAGTGATATACAGTGCATTAAAATTCCAAAGGTATCGGTTCGTAAAGGGCTGCAGTCAAATAATTGATTTTCAAAAGAATGTTAATTGTAACAGGTTCTTAGGCTATAAAACTCTGATGAAAGACATGATTATTTGGAGAGAATTTTATTAACAGTTGTTTCCGATTAGTCAGGGAAATTAGGGCGTACACTATGGGAGACTGGGAATCTAGGGGTACCACTTGCTCCGAATTCTTTAGTTCGACTCCTGCCTTGTAAGAAGACTAGTCCAGCTCCTTTGTGGAACTGGAGAATAATGTTTCCTATCGTAGAAACCGACCAGATAGCTGTCTTAAAAGGGAAGACAGGCTACAATCTAGAACACATTTTGTGGAAAGAAACGGTATTTAGGAAACAGCTTTATGCTCAGAGAGAGAGAGAGAGAGAGAGAGAGAGAGAGAGAGAGAGAGAGAGAGAGAGAGAGAGAGAGAGAGAGAGAGAGAGAGAGAGAGAGAGAGAGAGAGAGAGAGAGAGAGAGAGAGAGAGAGAGAGAGAGAGAGAGAGAGAGAGAGAGAGAGAATTAAAAGAAAACCCGATGAGTCAAAGGAAAATCGGCATCTAAAAGAGATCTGATTAAACAGGGGTCGGAAAGAGGACCAAAGCACACACATTAGACGTGGGAACAAGACGAGAGGAGACGGACGCCAGGTGATGCTGTCAAGCGTAGAATTTAAATTAGAATTCGCTACTTCTAATATGTTGTAAATTGAACACTACGACTAAATTTTCCCAAGGCAGTACAGTATAACTATCGGAAAAACTCTTTCATATTTTCCCATACAAATGTAGTAACCTATAATTATTACAAGAAATGTGATGGATATTGCTGACTTTTATGGATTTAACAATTTACATTTCTCAGTTTTAAAAAAAAAATAAATAAATTAAACTGTTTAAGATGACTTTCAGGAAATAGACAACGACATGTAGATTTTCTCTTTGGTTTTCATTCAAATGTTGGGTTGATACACTCTTCAAATATTGGAATGTCACACTCTTCAAATATTTGAATGTCACACCCTTTCCATTTACGACTTTCTAGTTTGCAAGAAACCCTTTCCATTTTATTGTCTAGTTTTCAAGGAAATATGATTCAAGCTCACTTAGCTAATCTAGATGTAATCAATCAATCACTACCTTAAATACAGTTTCTGGGACTCATATATCAGGGATATATTTAAAATTTTAAGATTTAGATTAAGATATTGCGATTCAAGAAACATACAGTGTATTAAGTATTTGTATATTTAAACCAGGTTTATGACAATCAAGTTAAGTGTAGATAGTGATAGTAGAAAACCATAACTAGGTAATCATCCAGGCATTAAAGACTAATATTTGGGATTCTATCAGCAAGTGAGGGTCACTGTCATGGGATATCTCTCTATATTAATGCCTGTTAAATGCCAATATTGTCCTCTTTTCTGACTCGAGACTAGCATGACCTTTATTTGAACAAAACAGACTGGACAATGAACTGGACTTAGTAATTATTGAGATATTGAAAGTAAATGAGCACGCAGATGAAATTAAGTAGATTCTGGATGGGACAAGGGTTTTGACAATATTTCACCAGCAGGGAGAAATTTAAGGCAATGTTGGATAAAACCTTCCCACTCAGTGAATAAAATGCATGCAATGCACATTTAGGATGGTCTGCGCATGGGCAAAACATATAGCTTCACCGTTTCTGTCGAAGACCGCGTGTCTACAACGTTACCCACCGTGTAAAACTAAAAATTCCCCACAAATACTTTTATAAGACATATATAAGGCTCATGGACGAATGGACGAGATGGAAATCGTCGGTTAGATTCATGACGACATGGTAGATCTATTGATCCATAAAGTCGTTCAAAATTAACTACGGTTTATCTTGTCGGATGTGTTAAAACGTGATAAGTAGGAATAAATGGAAAGAGAAATGATAACGTAATATGCTGGTAAGAGTAGACATCTTTGTCTCATGAAAACTACTACAAGAAGCACAAAACCCCCTGTAAGATAGCTTCTGAGTGTGGGATATATGTTGTGAAGAGAGGTGATAAGTAATAAATCAAGCCGAATGAGCACAAGAAACGAAATAAAGCATCGAAACTGAGAGCAGATGAAGAACTCAAGGGTTATTGAGTTCATAGATTCTGGATCTTGAATCTGTGTGGTTCTTTGATGCTTGATGATCTCATAATTGGTAGCACAATCGTCCATGAATATCCATTTAACCGTAGAATTTAAAATCATTATAATACTTTCATGAAAGTCTCTCGTCTTGAAGTCTTCCTAAAGTCCGACATTACTCGTTTAGACGTCTGACGTTGATTGTTGTTCATCGAACCTTTGTATCCGTGTTGTTTTGTGTCTACGGCATTAGGAAACTATATCGCAGTCAAATGGCGACAAAGACTTATTTACGAACGTGGTTGTAAAAATCTCATATTTAAAGGATTTCATGTCCTGATAGTATTTTTGAATTATCTAACATCGAAGAAGCAATTATTATTAATATTATTATTATTATTATTATTATTATTATTATTATTATTATTATTATTATTATTATTATTATTATTATTATTATTATTATTATTATTATTATTATTATTATTATGTTATTTTCGTTCAACGACTTACATTTGACAGGTCTTCTTTGTTGTGTGACCATTCTTGATGTGTGTTTACGTCTTGACCCTTAGCCATACGAATTCCAAACTTGGAATTCCATTCATCCTGTCATTGAATAGGCCCGTTACACTCTTATTCAGCTGTGGGATGTGCCAACCCTGTATAACTCATGTAGTTAGGCGTATCGTACTCTGTAATCATTTAGTTCGGTCAACACAGACGTAGTTCGCATCCACATGTATCAGTAATGAATCTATTTTGGTCAGCAATAATTTTACCATTTCCTGAAAATTCGTTTCAATTTACAAGAAAATATACATCGTAGTCGAAGGAGTACTTTAAAATTTTGGATGGTGAAACTGATCAGTGATAATTTTCTGTCTGATCATCTCTACCAGGACAATTTTCTCAACAGCTTATCGTCCTAGACCTATAATTTGCCTGAACTTTCTGCTTAGTAAAGAGATCATTGACACTAGCTATATGTATAGTCCTCCGTTTCTTATGGCTTTTAGTTTTTTTGCTGAATACAACGTTATTCATCAGCTTGTAGAATCCACTCACAAAATTGTTTTTCGCCTCTGTTCGCGCCATGGGGTTCTTGTCAATTTATTCTTTTAAAAATCACGTTTGTTTCAAAAAGGTGGCACTATAATCTGATTTGATGAGTAAAATAGAATGTCATTGTCTAAATATGTAAGATCATACGAACATAGCATAGTTCTAAAGCATTGCCACAGAGTTCATAAATTTTAATTTATACTATATTTGGCTAATGTGGTTTTAGATGTTCATGCATTGAGTGAGCTTGTATCATTACTACGTAAATTAACTTGTCATGGATTATTGAATTGTGTCATCATATAATACTGAATAAATAGGCATTTTGTTGTACTCTAATTTTGTTATCATTGTATCTTAAGTTTTCGTATTTGATTTATCTTTTACGTAATAGCGTGATTATCTCATATGCTCTCAAACCTTTTTCTGTCTTCTGCAAGCCCTCAGACACATTCATAATCTTTGAGACGAACCTTTATTTTCCGTCATCATCTATAATTGTAATTGTTAAGACAAGTTTCATCTGAAATATAGCCTGCTTATATTTTATTTCAATACACTTAAAGAAGTTTATGCATCTGTATAACAGCACTAGTTACCATTACGAGGCCTTCGCTGTGTGGTCGGCTTTGGTTGTATATATCTCGAATAGCTTGCTTGTTGTTCACTTCTTCAAGTGTATTTCACCAACCAATTTGGGTCTAATTCTTTGACCATTTTCCAATACGTACTGTACAAAATCTCGTGAGGTATAGTGTCCGCGAAAATCTTAATCGAGCTATGTGAACTTATGGGATGTAATTTAGCGTTTGTTCTAGTGTTGTTTACGAGTTATATTTCTGATTTTGCGACCAAGTTGTTCCGAGGCATTTATAGCTTGTAACTTCTGTTCATACATGTCAAAGAGGGTTAAACAAATATTAAATGTATATTCTAGATCAGCTGCTGTCGTTTTGACCCATTTATTGACTTCCTGAAATGACTTTCAGTAATTAAAGGGCCAACCGAAGGCTCTGTCTTCACCTTTTATTAAAAGATTCATATTTTACACTTTTTACCGTATTCCTATAATGGGTTATAAACCACCTGGCTCAAACGGAGAGACTAAAATACACTTCATGTTTAGATTCTCTACATCTGAATCCGATTCTAAAAATAATTTTCTTTAAGTAACAAATACTATATTTAAAGCAGTGGGAGCTATTTTTGGAAATTCGATTATACATTCCATTAAGTGACAAGTATTCGCTTCATTTATAATTTGCATACATCCATATTCGTTTGGAAGGTCATTATTTTAATGCCCCGATACGTACAAACGGTATAATCGATGTTAAAATACCTATACATTGTTGGATAAAGTGAACCTAAAGGTGTGATCCAGTACAATCCGGATTGTCTATCGCGCACAGGTATTCATTTATATTGTTGCTGAACATCTTTGAATGAAGCCATCCAGAAATCTTGGGGATCTTGATATGGCTATGTCTAAAATTATATATACATCCCTTTTTATATCATAGCCTTAAATAAAACAAATGTATAAACAAATTAAAAATAGTTTTAAATTAAACAAAACTGTAACTGAAGAGTTCGATTAAGTTTACAATGATATGAGAAGCACACATATCTTCATCACCTATTATATTTCAGCGTGTCAAGGATGAGATGAAGCACAGACAATACCGAAGCTCTCAGCATTGGATGAGGATAAAAGTGATGGATAATCCAAACTAGATAGGTGTTTTGTTCTTAGTTGGCGTGAAGAATAAGCTTGAATTGGCATCGGGATACATGGAGGACGCTCAGTCGTGTTGCCATGTAAAGAGAGTTATTTCCATGTGAAAAAACCCCACTGATGTAGTTATGTGTTTATTAAGTATCCCCTCTTTAAAGCTATAAAAATATGTTTTTACATTTGTAATTTGACCTAAACTCAAAATGAATTGGGATTTCTAAAGGATTTATTTGCTGCTTCTAAAAATATCCACGCGGACGTAAGGTTAGACATGAAAAAGTAATTTCCAACTGGGGTTGTGATACGGATCTACGAATTGAACATGTATCAAGCGTAAGATGAATCATGAAAGATTAAATGGAATGTAGCATATTTTTGTTACATACCCATATAAACTAAGATACTTGATCTGGCGTTCGATATAGCGATTCAGTCTGTATTTCAGACGCATACACATTTAAACTAGTTTATAGCCTTGTTTGAAGTCCGTGTGTATATATTTTTAGACTCAGTGAATCTAACTTTTATAAATCCATTTTCGTTTAGAATTTCATTCATACAATAAAGCTCAAATATTTAGACAGAGTAAATTGAAGGGAGGTATTAATAAATACAAAACAGAATTGACGAGTTGTATTGAGTCGTGGCAAGATATCGTTTTATGTGGCATAAGATGCATCTCTTCCAGACGGCCTGGACTTAAGCCTACGCCATATCAAACATGTTTTATCTTCCGATATATATATATATATATATATATATATATATATATATATATATATATATATATATATATATATATATATATATATATATATATATATATATATATATATATACAGACACACAACTTTGAGATTACAAGATTGCTAACATTAAGGATGTCAATTACATAATAGTTATGAAATGTTTTCAAGTTATTCAAGTCTGTATTAATGCCTTAATTTTAAATTTGTGATTTGTGCAACTTCATTTTAAAGATGATATTACTTGTGTCATTATCTTGGTATCTTAACTGAAGTTAGACGGTTCTTGTAAATAAGCAAATTTGTAAAGAAAAGAGAGAGGCAAATCATTAAAATATACAAAACGTGTCTTGATTTAGCTGACGTAATTAGGCTAATATGTTTTATTTATATTGTTGAAAAGTAAATATGATATGTTATTTTGAATTAGACCAAATATCTAGTAAGTAATATTAACATATGGTGTTGATCACCTTTATAGCATAGCCAGGTGCTCAGAGTATATTAGAACCATGCAAATGTTTATCCCACGTTTTAATTGAATTACAAGGTTGTTCAAAGTTAACTATCACGTTGGCTGTAACCAAAATACTTGTTTCATATGGGTTTAAAACATTTGCCATAACATCTATATAAATAGCAGCTGCAGCTACTACTCCTCTGACTTCTTTAATAATAGAGCTGAAAGAAGAAGTAGTAGTTGTTATGTTTTCTAACCTCTTCGTACTTCCAATTACTGTGAACTATGTGATTTTAATGTCGATTAGCAATTTAGGTGGGACTAGCAGGTTGATGTTGAGGCGAGAGTCATTAATACGTATGAAGGTCCATTTGAAGAAGGCAAGACCTCAATTTATGTGTCTCGGGTTCAGGATTGTCAAGTGTTGATTCTTGGGACTTTGGTCATAGGTCACACAAACCAGTTCTTAGGTCAAATGATATCACCGTACCTCCCTAGGCCCGTCAAAGAGTATTGGCACAAGTACCCAAACAGACATTTAACATACATTCTTTGTTTAGTTACACTATTGTTTACCTTAAGCAGTCAATATCGTGGCAATTTTCAATCGCCTGTAGAAGATTATCAAGAAACCTGAGAATTCACGTATGAATTTGTCCACTGTCCAGAAAATTATATATATATATATATATATATATATATATATATATATATATATATATATGAATATATACATATATATGCATATATATATATATATATATATATATATATATATATATATATATATATATATATATATATATATATATATATATATATGTGTATATGTATATATATGAGAATGTTTATAGAAAAACTAAGAGTATGCAAAGTGGATGAATCGATCTCTTATATCCGTCATTAAGGCCAGTAATCATAATTTGCTAGTAGTACATTATTTTGTTGAGTCTCAATGCAGAAGTAACCAATGTATGTGCATTTGTTCAGGCCTTATATTTATTTATTTCATTTTCTTGTACAAATACTGTATGGCGCTAAATAGCCTAAAAGTGCTGGTGCGCCGTTAAAGTTAAATCAATCAGTCAATCAATCAATGTACTATTAATTTCAGAAAATATTATATTACTTGTAATAATCAGAACAGCTTTAAATAATTTAAGAATAGTTATCAACTAGTTATTTATTTGCTTATAATATGATATTATCTAACGCATTTTTGTTGTTGTTGTCATCCCAAAATTAAATGATAATGAATCTGTGAAATTTGAAAAATTGTATAATTCAATATTCAGGGATTTGTTTGATTGTTTACAGGTGTGTTTGTTTGGAATTTTAATGTAGGTTTTTAACAAATGCAATCATTTTGTTAGGATTTCTGCAATGTGGCAGTTTATAGCGTTGTCTAACACTAGTACATCATGCCGCAGACATATAGAATGAAGGCCCATCCAGTCGCATCTTCATGACACTAGGTCAACCAGTCCCAACATTCTCTTAATGCTGAGCATCAAGCGAGGCAATTGTTAGTGCCATTTGTATGTCTTTGGTATGAATCGGTCGGGGTTTGAACCCGCGACCTCCCGCAACCGATGCGAAGACTCTAACCACTAAGCCACCAAAGCGGTCCAAAGGAGGATAGATAAAATACACATTATTTCTTAAAGAGTACAAAATGGCAGGAAACTATCATGCGGTTTTAGGACATTATTCATATGGAAGGTTAACAGTGAATTAAGCAAGAGGGAAAAACTTTTTTTAAAATATGAAATCTTAGACACAGATATAAGAGACACATAATATATGTACTGCTCGTGATAACTGACATCTCCCTTTGGGAGTATTTCTTCGTCTGAATTATTTATTAAGATTCTGGAACTGTTTATGCTCGCTGAAGTTATGCCTATTCAATATGTAGCATAACCATACGTCAATGTAATAATGTTAGGAGAAAGAGAGGCGTAATATGATAACTGTACTATTAACGGCTTGATGTACGATCAACGTTATGCTGTATAATTGATTTTATAGTGCCCTTGAGTTGAGAACCCCATATAGATCCACCAAATCATGTTAGATTCAGATCTAAATGTCAATTGTTTTCAACAGATCCACCACCCAGCAGTATTGCGTGTTTTATTTCACAATCCAAGAGATGAGACTTAGGCTTTCTTTGAATAGAACTCATCGCATTTTCGTTTAATAAGCGTTGAGTCTGTTTCTCAATCGCATATTACTCTTTCACATTTTACTTAACAGGCCCAAAAGTGAAATTCAAGGTAAAAATAACACGAGATTTAACGGAATCTGTATGATAAGAATATAATTTTGTCGTAGGCAGTTGTAAACCAAAAAACCTTTCGTAATTTAGGCCACTTTGCACAATGTGCAGCAGAGGTTTTGAAGAAATTTATATGGGAAGGATAATGATAAATAAGGTCTCTACCACCATCAACAACTACGTGCAGAAGAATTAGCGTCCAATTTCTAGTGAAAAAGGAAATTGTCCTCTTCCCTTCCTAAAAAATAATCTATACAAAAATTGTGCAAAATGGAGTAATGCTCGCTCTATATGAAATGTATTATTTCTTCTTGTTTTGATTGCTATTGAAACAAAAAAGTATTTTGTTGGCCCAGATATCAATTCCGATAGTCTGTGAGAGCAGCAATAAAAATCAGAAGTTGCAATCCTCATGTTATTATTCGATTCTTATTTGGGTCACGGATCCGTGTAATTCACATCACTCAGAATAATAGCTAAAACTATGTTTTTTGGTCATATCTCCAAGAAAATATACGTTTCATGTACATTTAACATCATAATTAATTGGATCCATGATGTTTTAGTCGTCGTATAAATCTTTGATTTTACGTTCTGAAGACTGTAAATTTATGATCCGGAAATTAACATTATTATAGTCGGAAGCATTTTTTATACAGAGCTATTAAATCGTGTTTATAAAAACCTTTCATCTAGTTTCATATTTATTCACATTTTAACTAATTAAAAATGTAGGATGGAATGGATTTTTGTTAATTTCAAAAATTGACAATTAAAGTTTCGAATGATCATGTAAATATTCATGTTTCATTAATGAACTTCAGCAATTAAAATGGACTTTTGAATTCCTTGAATATGAAATAGCTAAAGACATAGAACGTTTAGTATTCGCAATGTATGGTGTTTCATATAAGCCGTTAAACCTACGGATCTTGACATATTTATGTCAGAGGTTACTATTTGAGAGCGTTTGATAAAATTAGATAGGGTCCAGCTTTTGATTACCTATAATTTGTAGTTCTATTCTACGTTACTCTACTCTGACTTCATATGTATGATGTCTCTTCGTCGTTTTAAGTAAGTTACAAGATGAATTATGAAGGCAGTAATTGATTGTTACTAGTACAATATTAAAGTTGCAATATTTGGACAATGCTAATATATAGCTGATAAATGCACTCGCATTTCTAATGCTGAATATATTTCTATTTCGATGATGTTGAAAAATACGTTAATTTTCGTCCAGGAAATGAGAAGTTGTTTTTCGCTTAAGACTTTGATCGATAACATTTATTATTAAATTCATTCTTATACGTGTACATAACAAATGTATAGACCTCCATCAATATCATCTTGATATTTAATGCGATTAATGAACCAGAAATATTTTCAGTCATTCATTTCAAGTGCATAGTGCACGTTACAGGTGTATGTTTGGCTAAACAAATGAGTTTCTCAGAACTGTCGTTATGTGTCTTGGTTTGGTCAACAGTACTATTAATTTCCTAATAATATATATTTAAGTCAATTCGAAACTAACACAGTTACCAAGATCACCTTTAGTCGGCTGAAACAGAATATGCATTATGGATGCATACCAATGTGCGCCAAATTTATTTATTTATTTCGTGCCACGTTCCTGCTTTTTAAAAACCCCACGTATTTCACGTGCATCCTTTAGGGTGTTTGATGAATTTATGAATCTTGATATGCCACTTCAGTTGTTTTGGTTCTCTATATTTTTTTTCAGCCGTTGAGTAATTATTCCTGATGGCACATTATTTTGGCTTGCATGTTTAATATAATAATTTTCACTAGTTTTTTTATGCCCTTTTTATAATGAGAAACACTCGTAAAGATACATTTCTTCAAAATGAAAGTAATTTCCACGTTGAGTTGGTGTGGGGGAGATATTGTATATGCAGAAATGAAAACAAAACAACCTTTTGATCGTTTGTGGGTGCATAATTTATGTACCCTTCATGTCTCTAAACATTTACTTTTCAAATGAATTACCCAATACTGGATTATTCTGTTTACGTTGGTTAAATATACATATGTTAGCGTTTGATTAAAATTTTGTTGAATCACTTTTGGCTAATTGCTTATTAGTTTAGCAATAGAATCAAATAAACGTTAGGATCCTTTTAAAAGGTACCATCTTTTTTCCAACTGGATATTTGGTTTATTAATGACGCATGTTCTGATATGGGAAATGTAAAAAATCAAAAATGTATTGTTTAACAAAATCTCCATTTGGAAACTTTTAATTTAGATTTATTGTACATTTATGATCTGTATTGTAAACTTAAATTCCCCTTTATAAAAATTTGTTTCTTTTCATAAAAATGAAGATCAGCAAAACACTATAGAGCTATGGAATGATCGAACGTTACAATTCATACACTATGGTAATCCCTCTGAATCAGTCACAAATGATTTTTCTTCTATGCAGGGTACGGTGAGTCTTGGTCCATAATTATATTTTACGCTGTATAAATGACCTCCATCTGTCACATGATTCTTTTGTACATACACATCCATCTTCCAGACGATTGGGTCCAAAAATTGCGTATTAGGTGGAATGCTTGAAAATTGGTACGTGATAAGTACGTACAGCAAGGCATGCCGCTTCCATGTGTTAGTTCAAGCCTTATTGCTTAGTTCACGATAACTAGTATCTTAGCTTCAACACTGTCTTATAACATTGGAGACTAGTCTTCAGTTGCATGAAATTTGAATATGAAAAGTTGCAGATAATTAGATATCTTATTTAAAGCATGTTATAAAACAGGTATTATACGTGCGAATTGAGATCAAACTAATTGAAATACAAACCAATCCAAACCAAGCTAAAACCATACCAAAATGAACTAAAACCCATACGAAAACAAACCCAAACCATGCCAAAACAAAATAAAACCATACCAAACAAAAACCATACCAAAACGAATCCAAAGCAAACCGAAATCATACCTAAACAAACCAAAAACCATGCCAAAACAAACTAAAACCATACCAAACAAAAGCCATGCCAAAACGAATCCAAAGCAAACCCAAATCATACCTAAACAAGGCAAAACCATGCCAAAACAAAATAAAACCATACCAAACAAAATCCATGCCAAAACGAATCCAAAGCAAACCCAAATCATACCTAAACAAGCCAAAACCATGCCAAAACAAAATAAAACCATACAAAACAAAATCCATGCCAAAACGAATCCAAAACAAACCGAAATCATACCTAAACAAGCCAAAGCCATGCCAAAAGCTACCAACCAATGCATTAAAATACATCGTATAATCTGTTCAGACATATCGGATATATAAGTATTAAATTTCTTGTTCAAAACACCATAATGTCGTTTAATCTTTTCATTTCTTTAAAAATATCTAAATTGTTATTTTCAGTTAAACGGATAACTTACAGCATGTTAGTTTATAATTGCTTACAGTTCATACACGTACATTTGTTACTTTATGGGTTGTGTAGAGTTGATATTTTATGGGAATGAGAAAACAAGATTTATTAAATGCAACATTTATTAGACTCTTAAGTAATATAATAAAGCGTATTTTTGTCATTGTACGTTGCGTAAAAGCGTATGTAGATGATGGTATTCGCTTAGTACACTTTTAGTGAGAAGAAATAATGGGGAAGGGTGTTTTATAAAATCATAAAATTTATATCGAGATCACTTGCAGATATACTCCCCTGTTGTCGTAGGATTTGTTAAGGTTTTTCAATAGATACGCTATTGCTGCATAATAATGACTTTGCTTTTGTATAATGGTTAGTGTGCACAATCAAATTTCAGACGAAAAGTACCCGCATCAGCACTAATTACACAAGAGCATTCCCATTAGGCCTGAAGATCATAAGAAACGTTCTATGCCTGTTATGAACCTTGCACTGTACATTTGTACGTAGCACAAGTTAATGTTGAATGCCTATCAATGGCCTACAGGAAATCAATTATCAATGGCCTATAGGAATCTAATTATCAATTACATGTACTTACATTGATTTTGCTGATTCAGCGCATTTACACCAATAAAATATATATTATGGCAATCCAGTTATCGCTGGAAAACAAACTGCAAATAAATTCTGTCCTTAAGAGTAAGTATATCTCTTAATTAAATTTTCCCCATACCGTTAATAAATCTTGAAAATGTTGTTTTGCACCTATGTTTTACTTACAGGAAAAACTAATGTCAAAGTTTCAATAAAATCTTCAATGTAATGTATGAAATACAAAATACTTTCCACATTCCCCGAAATAGTATGTATTGGTACAATGATTTTATAAATATTATAATGGACAGCTTAACCTATTC